GACTTGGAGGTTTTTATTTTATTTTATTTCATGGGAAAATCTGCAGCCACTACCCTGGGTGCGCACTAGCTAAATTTTCGAGCTGATGCAATAGCCTGCAAATCACGTCAGCCATGTAAACCGCACTAGGCATGTCCGGTGCGACAGTTCAACCGAGAAAGTGTTGGTAGGGGGAATCAAACTCGTGATCAAAGACCTCCGCGTTCACCTACTCTACCAATTCGGCTACCTCATAAGGGGCAGACCTGGAGGGTTTTACCATTGGGGATGATGGTGTAAGGAACTTTTTAAATTCTCTCTATGTAATTGCATGGTAGAGCAATTGTATTATGTCAGAGAAATCTTCTTAATGTAAAAAAATTTGTGTCATCTCTCCTAATAGATTTAGGTAATCATATGATTTTTGTCTTGTTCACCGACTTAATGTGATTTTTAAAATTATTTCACTACAATATAAAAGAGGCTAAAAAAAACAAAATGTTCATAACTCGTTCTTACTTTGCTCTCTTTATCATCTGTAGTTAAAAAAATAATTAAAAATTCTATCCTTCATAAGTATAGTTGGGGCATAACAGCTACTTTATCGTAGAAAAAAAAAAGGTACTGCCCTATATATATGTCCAAAAAGAGTTTTTCACTAAGAGTCCAATGTTCATGTTGTACAAGGTATGTCATATAGATAGAGATTTCATCCTTACATGAAGTGTTTCGTTATAGTTGTACCTTTCATGTATAATTAATATTGAAAATCTGGTTTTCCTTTTTAACATATGAACATTTGAGAACTAAAATCATTGTGACTGTAATTTTTAACTTATTACCATTCTTTCTTATAATTTGTTCCATTATTTTTTCATTTTTATTCAACTGAGATTCGGTTGCTCATGCTTTTACCCTTGTCAAATATAACCATTTTTGGTTTGTATCTAATTACGATGATATGAAGAATACAGTTGCAATGAGAATATAAATACAATGAATACCAATTTTCATATCGAAAATATAAAATAGACAAATATATGAAAAAATAAGTCGATTTTAACCAACTTATGAATATCTTCTATATTTAGAAATGAATTTCTTTAAAATTTACATTTACTTATTTTTAACATTAACCAATTAATGTGCAACATACGTTCACCCCACTAGTTACATAAAAAAAATCATCAAACCCGATTTTAGATTTTTAGGGAAAATAAATTATTTGTATCTAGATTATCAAATAAATAACAAATTTAAGCAGAGAAATGGAAAAAAAAAAAAAAAAAAAAAGTTACACTTATATGAACAAGCACGAAAAGGAAAGAAAAAACATGATTAATTTAATTGATTGGGAATCAGAAAAGAGACATATTATAGAGTTAAATAGAGATGATTTTTCAAGCAGATGCTTATCTTAACTGCCAAAAATGGCCTGTTTGTCCAAATCTCCGAATGCGAAGAATTTGAAAGCTTTGGTCATTGGAACAGTAGTGAAGGTGTCAGTTATACTAATGAAATTGAATGAATGAGATTTAAGCATACTATTCTCGCCATTAATGGATAGAAATGAGGTCGAGAGAGTGCAAAATTTGATTAGAGCGTGGTGGCTATTAATTCTTTGCAACAATAATCTGGTGAAAGATATATGTATTTAATACGTACTTAATTGATTTAATTAGTTATTAGGTTATTAATCAATTTAGTTAATTTTTTAGGGTATTGGGCCTAATTTGCCCTAAATTGTAAGTGATCACGTAAAAATAAACAAACAGAAATATCCTACTCAGCCCCCATTGGGCTCCCATTTTATAAAATGGGTGGAATAATATTTATTTTTTTCTGAAAAATGAGTAGTTGAAAAAGAAGGAAATTTTTCGATTTATGTGTAATATTATTTTATGGAAGATTGTGTGGTTAAAAATAAGAGAAAGAAAAATGAAATGTGATGGAATGAAATTTAATGGGATCCAAATAGAGGCTTAAAGTTAATACTTTCAGTTATGAAACAAAAACAACATTTTCCAATTAAAATTTCAAACTAAAGTTTCTTTATTTTCCGTTTCTCCGATAATACTAATTTTATTTTTCATCTTCTTCAACACTAAAACCTAAAAAATATATCAAAATTTCAACATAAAGATCTCTTTAACATCTGTATATTTAAAGTCATGTTCATTAAATTAATTTACTTTTTTAATTGTTAAATCTTATTTCGACTTATGATAATATGTCTATATACATTACTACAATTGATTCGATATATCTATAAATATTTTAAACAAACAAATGAGAAAAAAACCATTCAACTCAATGGTTCGATGGTCTAGACCGTCTGATCGCCTATTAATAGATGGTCCAGGTTTCCGTCTCGGCCATCTAATAAGCCCAACCCAACCCAGACAGCATCTCCATTTGCGTAGTTGTGATAGATGGTCCAGAACCAACCCAGACAGCATCTCCATTTGGGTAGTTGTAATAGATGGTCCAGAACCTTTTACCATAGTTTGTTTTAAATTTTTTTTTTTTTTTTTGGGTCTTTCTTCATCTAACTTATTTATTTATTTATTTTGAATTAAAATGCAAATATGGAATTAGCACTCGCCCCAATTTGTTGCTTTGGTGAATTTTGAAGGAATGAAAATCGTCGATGGTCATGGAACAAAATGAGTAATAGAGGTGTTTCTGCAATTTTTTTTTTTTTTAACATCGACTACATCATGTATGAATATGTATCATGATTTAAAAAATCTCCTCAATGTTGATCTTTCTAGTGATAAGATGGATTTTGAATTTTTATTTTTCGACCATTCACATATATCAATTTTACGAATAAAGATTACTTCTGAAGTGTAAGTGAAGTGTCTAATCCGACTAAACAAAGATCACAATTATCCTCTTTGCATAACTTTAGTAAGGAAGAATATCCTAGAGAATGAACATGAAACATTGAATGAAGCAGATCATAATGTGGATTATTTTCGGGATACATAAGATAGTTTGGAAGAAACATAGTTGAATTAGAGATAATTGCCACATACCATGATCTTACTGTTATACACAAACTCCCAAGGTAGGTTTAGACAATGAGGAAGATATTCCATTTAGAAACCATGATCTAATAGCATTATCTAGTTAGAGACATGATTGGTGTGGGATCTCACGGGTTGGGCCGATTACACAATCTTCTAATTCTTTACTTGTGATTTTCGATGACCAAAATTTGTAGTTCGACCAACTATTTGACACAAAAATGATTTTCATGAAGCTGTACACACAATTGTATTGAAACACAACTTTGAATTCAAACTGGAAAAAAAAAAAAAAAATACCCACACCATTGTGCATAGAGACAATCATTGTGATTGTCATTTATGAGCAATGAAATTTGATACAATTGATTCTTTGTAGGTCATTAAAAGTGAAAAAAATAAAAAAAGACTACCCACAATTATGTATAGAGACGATCATTGTGATTGTCATTTATGAAGAATGAAATTTGATACCATTGATTTCTTTTTTTTTTTTTTTTTTTTTATGTG